GTGTGGAGTTCGCCACTCACAGTACTAATCGATTGCAACGAACTCGATTTCTGGCAAGTTTTGCAAATATTTGTGTGATTTAATCGAAATTAGCGTCGCAAAATGTCAGAAGGACAGGCAGCCGAAAGATTGATCATCGGTTGATGGCAAAACAATTATTTGATGTTATTTGATGGCAACAGAAGCTGCAAAATTGCTAGGATATTAGCCTGTGGTGAGTGTCCTGCACATACATATGTATGGGAGTACACCAAATACGCGCAAGTAACAGCCACGTGTGTTCAACCATTTTGTTATCACCAGCGTGACACACTCGACCCTGCTTCTTCACCCACCCTGTGTATTCTACAAACTAAAAGTTCAAATTTATAAAAAAAAAAATAAGAAATCGTCAGAATAAACGCTGTCCAACAACTTTTGCATGCAGCGGAAACATAGATTCGCATGCAACGAATTATGGCCACCAGTGTGGGCTAATGGATTTTTGATTTCAGCATTCTCGTCAATACAAGAAACAGTTAATGGCGAATTCTCACACAGTCCTTCAGTTTGCGCATAAGGCGCAAATGACTGTTAAATATATGTATGTATATACATATATGAAAAGTGTGTGCGAGTGGTTGCATTTTTTATCACTTATGTAAACAAGCAATCAACAGTAGCAAAGTAGCAACATTTGACGCTGACACTTATTGCTCTCATTGGCTTTATTGTATAGTTTTTGCGATCGGTGTAGGAAAGTTATTGGCAGGCACTGCGGTCAAAAGAAGACGTCTGCTTGTGGCAATATTTGCATTTATGATAGATTTACGAGCTTGCAACATTTGGTCATTTACCCTATTTTTATTTCCAGGGCTACAATATCTATACAAATGGATTTTTAAGTGGCAATAAGAAAAGGCATTCCAGGAGCTTGATATGGTATTTATAATTATAATTATAATTATTACGTAACAAACTTAATAATTTGTTATACAGTTAGACTTTGTTACGCCCATAAACTCACTTTTCCGTAAAGACATAAAGTGAACGGACTGTTGAGAGGGATATGTGTGATTGTAAAAAAGCAATATATGTAGCGGTGGTCCTATTCTCAAATAAATTTAATTCCTAGAGTACTAACACTGAAACTATATATTATAAATACGATAACTGTGAAGAATGTGAGAAAATCCATATTAAACGCTTCAGAGAAAAATTCTACTTACATGGAGGGATTAATTTAAAAACTGATTAGCAGACTTGTACAGAACTTCGGTCGCATTTTGGCATTGTATCAGCTTGACACAGTATAAAAATGGAAGAAATCTGGCGACATCCACTTCTCACAAGGCACTTTGAACCATGTTAGCTTATCGGAAAGATATTTACCTTTCTATAGCAACTGTGAGGATCTGCATCTTTCGATTGAAATAATATTATAACTTCTGATCAAACTTGACGCGGACTAGTCCATTTGCCATTACTAAGAACTAAATTGAAACTCTAATTTGGCATAGGTGATTGCAGTAGCCAGGGGCACTAGTGAGCAAAAAATTTTGAATAATTTCGCCCTCTAATAAGTTTGCCTAATTTGAAGATTTTCGAACATCCGGCAGACTTAACTTTATATGATTAGTTTTTAGTAAGTGGCATGTTAATAATATGTGGTATTGTGAAAAATATATAAAATCTGGTCGATACTACCCCAACTTCCATATATTACATACTAGAGGACCCGGCGAACTTTGTTTAGCCTTAGATGACACAAATAAGGTGGTTTTTAGTTTTATCAAATCCTTTTTTAGGAAACATTTTTCGTTTTATTATCAGGTGCAAGAACAAATAACGCAGATGGTATCCCGAACCGTGAACATGCCACATATAATTGACCATGGGAAAAACAATAGTTTTCTAGATTCACAAGCTTTTAAGGACTGGCCTTGGGATTTGTTGATGGTCTTGGCGAATGCAAGATGTATCGGAAATTGAAGTCGTTTAAACTCAAACGGCATGTCGGTTGGAATCATCGGGATCGTTGGAATGAGAACTTCAATTTCCTTATTACCAAACTCATTCCGTTGCAAAGTTTATGTTCCGAAGCATGATTACTACGGAGCCAACCTTTAGTTGTAAATTGTGCGGTGGTAAGCCTGGCACATTCAAGGAGTTTAAAAATTCAACTGGATAGTTAGTAGCTACATCATCATTTGTTATACAGTCAATTGTAACAGACCGCTAGAATCGTCGACAAGTACCAATAATCTAATTCTGAATTATTAAGTTTAAATCATCTCCGTTACCGATAGTCAGTAATTGCTCAGAGAATTCTTCAGCAGATGTATCGCTTAGCAATGCAACTCTCATGTTTGTTCTCAGCTGAAGTTTCTTCACATAGCGCCTTAGATTCGATATTTGAGGCAAGCGTTTATTTCGTCTGCAACAGTTGATCTTGGTATTACTGGAAGGGTTTGTCGGAAATCTCCATATATGTTTCAATGTTTAATTCCACACATTAGGTACGCCTTCGATCATGATCAAAGCTCGATTATGTATCTCCTCATTCATCTTAATATCTGGATTTCCTGAACTGACACGAATTTGAGGTAAAATGTCCAGTGACATACTATCCTTGTATTTGTGTCATAGGTTAGATGGGTTCGATGGAAAGCATGTCGAAATGACGATAGCAAATAATGTTCATATCTGACTTAGAGATGCAGACATAATTGCTTCAACGATTGTCGTTTCCCAATGAGTATCGGTTTCTAATAAATTGAGTTCTTCACATGCAGCACGATATGTTGGGAAGACTATACCATTATCAGTCTGTAGTGACTCAAATGATGTTGGCCCACGTACATTTACCAACAACAATCGCAAATAGAAGCATTCATCATTATTTGGATGAACTGTATACATACGCCCATGAGCATTGGTACAACGCAGATCCGAATAACCAAGAACCTCTTCGCTTTGCTTGCGTCTTTGAAAATTTTTCGATGAAGCATTCCATCTCAAAGGAACTGGTCAATGTTGCGGCTGGAGGTGTTTGTGCACGTTGAACAACATTGGAATTCGTAAAATATTCTCTTTGAGCATTCTCCAAATGCACAACAGTGTGATGACGTTCATGAATAGGGAATCCGAATATACCACAAATCGCTTCATTACAGTTCACATACCGACCAATTTAATAGCGCGCAATTTCATTGCTTCTGTTTGAGCTTTGGATGCTAAAAACCCGCTTTATCGCTGCCTTTCCTGACATATTTACAGATGTATTTTATGGATTTTACTGAATTGCAATACTCGACGTGGCAATGTATCGTTACTTAAACGTTTTCAGAACAATTGGCGAATATGGAACAATTCAACTATTGTCGACAACGAAATCCATTCCTTTCACTTTTATTGTGATAGTTCGACCGTTATCATCGGGTGATCGACGCCGATGTAGTGGATAACCATCGTTTCCGGTGACAGTCTCTACCGTTAATTTCCGTGGATATCGTTTGGAACACTTTCCGTCGATCATGCTAGGTGATTGAGGATTGATGTGGCCACATGGTCCATGAATCATATTTGTAGTTACATCATGCAGGTGTGGATCGGCTTCATGATCGGGAATCTCGGCACGTATGACATCATCGATTTTTTCTGGTTGAATTCTTTCCAATAACCAAATAAGAATGTGTGCGTGCGGGCACGCCTCGTTTTTGCCATCGAGTTTCTCCAAAAATACGTTGTTTAACAATGAAGTTAATCAAAGATCGGATTTTTTATCTAAAAACACGTGCTGTGATGTCGTGTCGATCACTTGATGTTTGTCCAGGAAGCAGTAATTGAACAATCTCTATCCATTTTGGATTACATGTAAAATTAACATAAAGATCTGGCCGACCGTAATGACGTACATAAGTCATTGCATCTTGCGCATATTCATGCATATGACGTGGACTACCTACATATGTCGCTGGCTGAATAGTTAATCCACCAATATTATCCGAACGCAGTTTTCCTTGATTCAACCGAATGAAATTTAAACGCTCAGTTTCAATTTTAACGTACATGTCAACACAGCACTGCTGTAACAATCGTCCAAACCGCAACAAATAGTTGTCAGCATTTTGTCGAATCATCAAACGATATGCTTAATAATTCATCGAGCTAACCTTCCTTGTAGTTTCTTCACCTTAAATTAAAAAAGCATAATTATTATTTTTTATGTCTACTGTAATCAAATTGAAAGGTGAATTTTGTCCATTTCATCTCCTTTAAAGTAATCCCCTGCCGCTGCAATACACTTATGTCAACGAATTTTCCAGTCATCATGGTACTTTGAAAAATCCTTGGTGGCGGCCCACAGCCTTCTTCAATTCAGCTTTTATGTCCTCAATTGATTCAAAACGATGTCCTCGGAGTGGTCATATAAATTTGCTGAATAGCCAGAAATTACACGAAGGTAAATCAGGCGAATGCAGTGGTTGCAGCACGATATTAGTTGAAAATGTGGCGAAATGATCACGAATAACCAATACGGTATGAGATGGTGGATTAACGAACTGCTTTGTTAAATGAATTCATGCATAGGAAAAATCAAATTATTAACTTTTAGAGCCCCACACAACGACGCATATCTCAAATACTAACGAATATTTCGACGTGAAATTTGGTGTAGATGTCACTAACAGTACTACCAAGTTATATAAAAAAATTTACCGATTCGCAAAACACGCGATGTTTAATTTAAAAACTTACCTTTCAATTTGATCATTAGCAAATTTTTACCATAATTACAAATATGCAAAGATAATTAATTTTAGTCTTTTGCCAGTAATTTGTCCAATATTCTCTAAAAAATCTATTATATTTAATCAATGGATTTTTCATTTTGATGTTGAAATAATATCCATCTTCATCTTGCCATAACATCAGCGGGTATTATAATGTGTCATACGATCGATGTGTTTCAGATATTTGTTTAGTTTTCCAGTATCGCGACGTGTAAGCACAATATTGCGTGTTTCCAAGTTTTCACCAACAATCAGGATTGCAACTTCACCTATTGTTGGAGCGTTAAAAGTGCGTTTTTGTGTTCCAGATGGTCGTTTATCTGCTCTGATGATGACTTTGTAATCATGGTTTGCATGCATTCCAATTCACTCTTAAACAGCCTGACCAACGCATGATGTTTGTGAAGTAGCTATTGCAGATCTTGAAGAATTGCTCTTCTCACTGCTGCATTTATCTCTTGACGTCGATCAAGTTGTTCCTACATGGTGCCCATGAAGTATATTTGTAAAAACTAATGCTGTGCATCCTCTAGAGGTTGTAATGATCCAATTCGATGGTGAATCTGTCCCTGTATCTACAAAATCAAAAGCAAACTCTCCTTTTTTAGAATTTGCATATATAACAAACAGGAATATGTATAGTATAGTTACTTATTTATAATCCCTTTTTTGGAATAAGAATAGTAAATGAATAAATACCCTGAATGTCGGATTAAATCCTTGTTCTTCGATAATATCTGCCTCAAATGACGTCATTTGGAAACAACCATTGTACTTTTGAGTGCTTGCTAAAAAATTTCGTGATTCGGGTGTTTCGCCGCGAAGCAATGAATATAGTTTCTCTGGTGGTGGATTTAGTGATGGCAATTTTATTTTCCCACTAAGGCAGCACAATCGTTTCCCTAGAAAACTTCAATGCTCTACAATACTCGCAAACAACGTCCATCGGCCCAATACGAACGCTAGTATGCATGCCGTAATCAGTGCTGCAATCGTATCGAAGCGCTGCTCGATTCAAATCTGTACTTGATGTGCTTCGTCTTGGGCGTCGTACAATATCTACATACATACCTGTTGAGCTCTGCGGTTTGCTCGACGATTTCGCAATGTTAACCGAGCTGTCTCACGGGCTGCATCACTTTGCTAGTGTGATTGAGAAGTACGAAGTAGAGCCATACTAACGCGGCGCTCTTCACGCGCAATTCCTGCTTCTTCTTCTGTCCTTTCACTCACAATGTTTCTAATCCTTGTTGCATTATGGCTTCGTCTTGAAAGATTTGATTGTGTTTGTCGCAGTATGGCTGTCTTAAGGGCTATAAGCGGTACAATAAGCTCATAGAGGTTCGATACAATCACATCAATCGGACAATTTCAAAATTTTACCTACCTTTTCTCTCTGTTAAATTACTTTTAGCTGAGTTTTGTTATTTCAAGTTTTAAATAGTATCGTATATGCGGTTTAATTATTTTTTTTGTGTTTTCTTCTTTTTTTTTTTTTGAAGTAATAAAATATTGAAATGATGTTTCCAAAAATTAATTTTGAAAAATGCTTATGATGTGAAATACAATTTTTGTATTTATGAGTTGTATTAAATTTCAACATAGAAGGATAATTTAAATTTTAATTAAATTTTCAGCCAAATCGGTTCAGCCATTCTTGAGTTATAAATGGTGTAACTGACAACAACTCTCTTTTATATATGTACATACATATATAGATAATGGAATTCTTTTTTCTAACAAATCTTGTGTGTCTGTCAGTTTAGAAGTTATATTATATATTGTATACGTACTACTCAGAATTTTTAATTTATTCTTTGCGTGTTTTTCGATGCTATGATGACTTGAAGGAAATGAAAGTGACAAAAGTCACCTTTCAATTCGATCACAGACTATCTATATGTTCTGATTGAACACACCCATTAAGACAAGTGCTATTCATTCATGTCACCCTGTTTGACATGAATACAATGAGGCATACGCACAGAGTGAACCTAGCGCCTATATATTAAGATGCCAAAGAGTTTTACTATTTTTCTAAAAGTTTCAGGAAATAATTCTACCTGTGGATCCGAAAAAATTCGATAAATGTGAAATATTTTATCCTAAAGTGTTAAAAGCATCTCTCTCTCAACTCTGGATAGTTTCAAGCTTTTGTAATTTTTCCTATAATCCTCGTGTTGCAATGATTTCATGATTCTGGGCAGCCAACTTGTATTCGTCTCACCGATGGAAAATCCAAAAAATATATAGCTGGTAAAATCTGTTATTGTATTTCACACCGCCACCACAAATGTAGCAAAAATAGTCTGTAGAATTTTAAAGGCTTGCGAGGTTCTATAAGTATAAAATAAACAAATAAGGAAGGGCTAAGTTCGGGTGCAAACGAACATTTAATACTAATGAATATTTTGACGTGAAATTTAGCATGTCATTAACAGTACTATTAACTTACAGAAAAAAATTTACCGTTTCGAAAAACATGCGAAGAAATAAAAATTCAGCTTGCTGATCACAGATTATGTCTTTAAGTCAAATCAAATATTTTTCCTAAATTCAAATCCTTTCACAGATATTTTATTATTTTTATAAACCTTCTTTATTAAATGATATTTTAATTCGACTTTCATTATCTTTGCCTCATTACTTACATTTTCTTGAAGTAAGCCAATTAATTTTATTTTCTTTATTTTAATTATCCCTAACTGATGTATACATACATATGTATGTATGTCACAGGGCAGCAGGGTATACATAAACGTTCGGTAAGTTCCCCATGTATTGATATAATTTCATTTTCGAACTTGCGCTTTTTCGATGTTCTATCATAATAAATTACATTTTAGAGCAGTTAACATTTGCGCATTCTCTGCTTTTGACTTAGGAGAAAGGGAGTGAAAATTGTTGTTTTAATGATTACTTACGATATTACTAAAATCAATTTTCCTATTACAACAGAACCTGAAAATCAAAAATGAGAGTATGGGCTGAACCATTTTGTATACCCATTGTATATACCAGGTAAAATAATTTTATGAAGAATAAAAGTCACCATTCCGAGCCGGGATATCAGCATCTCAGTTTTTTCAATGATAAAATGGGTAAACATCTCTGGAATCCTTACAAGCGTCACCTTAACCTACCCTTAGATGGCTTCTTGGCTCATACTATCAATAAAAATGCTTGAGTTAATAACTTTATTATCTCTATTACGAATAGATTCACATTAAACGGTGGATTATATAGGCGCTAGTTCCCAATATTTTAAGACTATTTTGCAAGTTATTTCTATAGTAAGCATTTTAAATATATGTACATATGTATATAGCTTTAAATTATTTGTATAATATTCGTTGATTAATTTTTCATCAAATTTCACCACTTCAACAAAACCCGAGTTTTCACCCGTGTATATATGCATGTATATGTACATATATGTATATAGCAATAAAATATCAGCAAAATTGTTTTAATTTTTTTCGTGTAAATATCAGCAAATATATTTGTGTCGTTTCGGTTCAACTAATTGCTCTTATTGTTTAAATGTACTTATGTAGTGCGTATGTATGTATATGCAAGTCTTTCAAGTCGACTGTGCAAAAGTGAGTATTAATTGCTTTTGTGATGTTTTATTTTTGTTTTTTTTTTAATTTTCATAAGCACAGTGTGTCCGTTTCATAATTGCTTGGCTCAAAATGAACTACACAACTAACAGCTACTTTGTTCAACATGCGAATTTCATGTGTGTTATTGGTTTTATTAGCAATAAAATTTCATTAATTTAATATATATTTAAATAATTTTTGAAATGCTTCAATCAGCACTTGGAATAAGACCATTGTAGATAATTAAAAATTATCCATTAATAAATAAATAATTTTCCGGCGATATGAGGTCTAGAAGAGGAAGGGTATGGTTGTGCTTGAATTTTTTAGAATTAAATACGATTTATCTCCATTTCTATACGAGTACCAATAGTTTAGTGGCTTCTCTTATTGTATTTTCTGAGAAATTTCAAGTCATTTATATAATTTTTATACTACCAGAGTTAAAGAGCAATAATTACCAATTTTTATTAGAAAGGTAAAAAAGGAACTGAATCGTGTAAAAAAAAGAAGAAATTTATCAATTACGAATACTTTTAAAGTGAAGCGCATTATGCCAAAGTGATACTATATCCTGTAAAATTAAAAAATCTACAAATATAATAAAACAATAATAATAAAGGGGAAAGAATAAATATGGTACTTTAAATAAATGAAAATACATTGTGTCTGGGAATTTCTTTTACCTACCAAATTTCGTAAACGAAAACATATTTTTGTACAGGATAAAAAAATAAATCCAAAAACTTTCTTATTTGTTACACAAATTTTGAAAGTACAACTTTGTCATATAATTTTTTAGTTTGATTAGTTTTACCGATAATCGTGAAATAAAAAGGTTTAAAATTTCAACCACCTACCCTTTTCCTTCCCGATCTTACTTTATGTTTCTTTTCGAATCAGGTTCAGCATAATACTCTTCACTCTTTATCTTTTCAAATGCTGTAGTGTTATTCAACTTTCGTTTGGTAAATGTGTTTAAGCATTTTAATAATACAGATAGCAAACTAAATCAAATTGATTTAAAAATAAGTTTAATTAATTTGAATTTAGCGACATGTAGGCGAAAAAATCTTTGATAAAAATGTGTTGTTAAAAAAATAAAGCAATACATATTAAAGGTTTACCGAAATCAACGGTTTTACTATATATGGATAGCAAGTGTTAGCACTGCTCCTAGCACAGTATCAAATAAAACATTGCAGAAAATCATATAAATTTAGCGTTTATGAAATATGCTAGAAGTTGCAAGAATATAATAGTACAAGGCAAAAATTATTATAGTAAGTAAACCTTAATTACGTAAAATATTGAATAAAAGCAAGTTTGATTCAAAAATTTTTTATCTAACAACCACCAAATACTCAAAGATAAAACTCCCATAATTTTGTATACTCTAGAAATCTTTCCAAATTTAACATAATACAAAAGAACCAAACCATGCACCTAAAACATAAATATAATATTTTTATTACAAAGAATTCACATCATATAAGAAACAATACTCGTAATGCAATGTGTTCAAATGCCGCTAGTTTTATAAAAAATACTGTATTTTGTTAAATAAAATGAGAGCTAATAAAAAATAGGTTTTTTAATCACAAAATAATTAAAGTGCTTTCTGAGAATAGCATAATATAAATTAACATTATTTAACAATTATTATATTTATAAACGAGTTTAACTGTAGCATGCACAATTACCTATATATGTACGTATACACTAAAATTATAATAACTAAAAAACGCATTAAAACTAATAAACTGAAATTAAATAATTACGTTTATATAACTTGAAACTCCTGTATGAAACTTACGCAACTGACGAAAGTGCGTTATCACAAAACAAGTTACAATGCATTACAAAAAAATATATAAATTTATATAAGTATGTATATAATGTACAAGTGCGTTGCGGAGTCAATACTGCAAAATTCCTCAATTGTTAATTTTTAAGGTATGCTCCCATCAAAGTCATTATTGTGTTGCCCTAACGCACTTTGTCCAGTTCAAAATGTGTTTATATATTGTACTATATGTATATATATATATATATATATACATAACTTAAGAACTATAAAATATTCCCTTTTATTTAATATTTCCCTTTACAATGCAATCAGCTTGGTAGCGCATTGATGCTCCGCCCATAGCTCCTGCAATTGARCGCGACTATTTTGTCGTTCCGATGGCGGCGTGTAGTCAGCTGATGTTGGTGACAATACACCTGTCTGTGGAGAAAAGGCGGAAAATTATTTATAAGGTGCTTTGACATTTTCGGACAAGGCCACCAACCTTTGACGCAATTTTTCGAGGATCCAAATTCAAGCCAATATTTTGCATACCTTTCGCCAATTTGGACAAAGGACTAACCACTATTGTGCGCGATAACGGGCTTGCCAATTGCATTAGTTTACTAGAATCGGCCGCCGGGGTACTACTCAGCGGTAGGTTGAGGTCTTTGGCTACTCCACTGTTAGTACGAAATCAAATGTGTTTGCTAGTTAGTAAACTTTATGTTTAATTTATTTATTTTAAATTATTTATTTAATTTTTTTTTTCGTTTTTAGGGTTAACACTTTTTAATATAGTACATACTTACGTTTACATAATGTATGTTTAATAATTACAACTGAAGGGAAGGCACTAAATAAATATCTTAAAGCGATTTTATGCAATTGTTTATATAAATACAAGGCATGCAAAAAATAAATAAATAATTTCAATTATTATATTTCATTTATATGGATAAAAATTATGTGTCACGTTTTGTCCGGAGTAAACTCCTAAGCTACTTTTAGAAAAATATAGCACTCTGTGTTTAGTGTAATCTAACTTAAAACATAAGACAGTTTATGTCTCAATAATTTTAAAAGTCAAAACAATTCATTAATGAAAATATTATACATACTTTTATAATAACTATCATTTCAATAAGGTGCCAAATGTAAAATACTTTACTCTTTTATTGACAAATATTATTAAATAATCGTACAATTTTCAAAATTAAACCTCAAGTACAATCTCTTGGATTATACATTTAAATAACGAATTCGTGTTAGTATAAAGATAAAAAAATAGCCTAGCGGGGAATATTATACAATGTTAATATTATTGATGTCGTTTTCCGTTCGCTAAATTTAAATTTCACATGGTATTCTATATAAAATACGCCCACTAGAGGGAGAGATTAAATTAAAATTTGGTGGTTCCGTCACCAACAATTCATAGGCACATACAAGTTAGCAATCACTCCGCAACTACAAGCTGTCGTCTGTTATTACAAGCTGAAGTTTTCGTGAATAATTAAATAAAACAAGTAAGGAAAGACTACGTTCGGGTTTAACCGAACATTTCATACTATTACAACTTAAAGGATCAAAGCCTGGGTTATACCTTACGGTATATATGGTTTGTTTATTGTATGAGGTCTAGAGCGAGATTACCAGATTTTTCTCATTATATCATACCATAAGCACAAAGGTACACCGTTATTAGAAAAACTAGCTCTGTCAATTTTACAAAGGTAACTCTCATATTTGCTTTTATGCAGTATAAAGCGACCTGAAGTTCGAAAATCTTTCTATTATGTAAGGGTTAAGTGAATTATTAATCCGATTCACCCCAATTTTGTCATACCGGCATCATATGGTTGTCAAAAAAGTCTTGCGGTATTTTCGCTAGTTGGCGCTGAGAGCGCATAGTTCTCGTCGCATCGCATCGTGAATTATAGCGTCGCAAATATGGAGCAAAATAAAGAGAAAATACGGCATATTATACAGTACTACTACGATAAAGGCAAAAATACATCACAAGCCGCCAATAAAATTTGCGTAGTTTATGGATCCGATACAGTTTCCATTTCCACTGCACAACGATGGTTTCAACGTTTTCGTTCTGGTGTAGAGGTGGTCGAAGATGCGCCACGCTCCGGAAGGCCTGTCGTCGAAAGATGCGAAAAAATCGCGGAATAGGTCGAAAGAGACCGGCATAGTAGCAGCCGTAGCATCGGTCAAGAGCTGGGCATGAGTCATCAAAAAAAATTGTATGAACAATTGAAAATTCAATAAAAATACCTTAAGACTTTTTTTGACAACCTAATATAATCAGTAAGCAACTCTGTCTGAATTGCAATAATATATCTCATAGTATGTCCCATAAAAAGTTAGTAACATGCACTGGGAGCTCCATATTCAATCTATAGGGACTTCAACAGTTTTGGTCCTATTTTTACAATTTTTAGATTTGGGATGGCAGGTATGCCATAGGCGAATTTGAGCAAAATTGGTCTAGTAGATCCCGAGACATGGGTTTTCACCAAAATAAGGGCGGTGCCACGCCTATCTTTCCAATTTAACACCAACTCTTATAAAACTGTACCATTTCGGGTGTAAACTTTTAGCATTTTTTAACAAAACCGTTATATCGGAAGTGTTAGGATTCCGATTTCATCCATTTTCACTCTGAAGGTTAGTTATTGTAGCTTTAGTGGTTTAAGCGATATGTACATTTGACCTCTTATAGGGCGGGGTCACGACCATTTTTACAAAAGTTTTACCCCACAGGTGCTCTTTCCAAAAAAGATATCTTAATTTTTATCCAAGTTATCGCTTGAACAGACTCAGTCTGTCTGTCATTCCGAAACCAACTGGTCTCATCATTCTGATTAAATATCTATCTGGATTAGTTTTAGGTGATACAAACAACCGGGGAAAAAAACAATTACCAGGATCAAAAAATGAATTGGCAGCATGGAAATATGCAGAACCGTCAATGATACTAAAGAACTCATTTCTTAAATACAATATCCTTACCAAAATTGGGGATAGTTTATATAACAGTCAACAATAAAGAACAAACAAAATCCTTCTTCCATTTAATAACTTCCTGATTTCCCAAGAAGAAAAATAATACATTAAAGAATTCAAATAATCCGATAACAGAATTACTCGCAAAAAAAAACAATATTTTTAATTTGAATGGAATTTTGAAGGAAACTTAACATATAACAATGTACAGTAGTATCTCGATAGACCGGACACCCTTTAGTCCGGACATCTCTATAATCCGGACATTTCTATTATCCGGATAGTTTTATATTTTTTACTCTTTAATCCGAACGCTACAAAAAATTCAGACTTTTGTTTCTCTTTTCGCTTTGGTATTATGATTTTTACTTTACGTTGTGAGTTTTTGCTGCAGCAATTCGAAGAATATCTTTACTTGAACGAAAAAATGTGCGTATATATGTACTACATACGTACTTAATGAACATATTGCCTATTATGGTGTATTTATTCCAAACACGGCGGTGTACCGTTTGTTTATTCACAGTTCGTGAAGTGGCACAGTGACTGGACTTGCATTCAATTTCTTTGTTATTAAAATGAGCGGCAGACAAATAAATAAAAGAGCTCATAAAACCCTATCTATTCAGAAAAAATGTGAAATATTAGATCGCCTTGATAAAGGAAAATCAATTAGATACATACGTTGCAGAACAATTTCGGGTAACAAAATCTACTGTATTTGACATAGAAAAGAAACGTGATGCTATCAGAAAGGATGCGTCCAAATGTGTGCAGAAAACAGGTTAGTTTAAGTGGAACCAATTTTGGTTTCCAAATTTAATAACTTAGTGGTATTTCTCAGAAAAATGGCTGACCATGAGACTAGGAGAACAACCGGATATGGAGAAGGCCTTGGTTTGTTCAACAGAGAAACCAGAATATTCCTATATCAACCGAAATGATTCAACACAAAGCAAAATATTTCTATAATCAAATAACTGGAAAAAATGAGTTTGGGGTAAGTTTGGGGTGGATTTCAAATTTTAAAGCACGACATGGCATAAGGAAATTAAAAATTTGTGGTGAAAAAGTAAGCAGTGATGTTTCTGCAGTGGAACCATTCAGGCAAAAATTAAAATCTATTATAGAAGAAATGGACCTAGACCATGACCAGATTTATAATGCAGATGAATCGGCAGCCTTTTGGAAAGTTATTCCTGCAAATACATTGGCACACTCGCAAGAAAAATTTGCATCTGGTCGAAAAATGTCAAAGGATTGCGAACTTTTATGATTTGTTACAATGCATCTGGCACACATAAGCTACCCCTTTTTGGTAATAAGCAAATCAACTAATCCACGATCATTTAAAAATTGCAATGTGCCTGTAACTTATAAAGCAACTAAAAAAGGTTGGATGTCAACGTTCTTAGTTACTGAATGGTGCAGGAAATATTTTATACCGGATGTAAAAAAAATTTTTTAAAAGCCATTAAAAGCTATTTTACTAATCGACAATGCTCCATGCCACCCAAGATCAGAAGATAATGACATAGACACTAATTTTCGAATTGTCTTTCTTCCACCCAATTGCACAGCAATCATACAGCCTTTAGATCAAAATTAGGTATATCACAGCAGAATATTGTACGTAGTTGGAACCAGTTGTTGTGTAGTGACCGCCAAGAATGGATGGAGGAAGATTTGATACCTCTGGCTCAACTTACAGCCTCTAATTCAGACGTGAATTATATTCATGCCATCATCGCTTCAATAAATCTGGACGCTCAAGTTCATACTCAAACCATAAATGGCCACTGAAAGAGATGAATTCGAATACGATTTTTCTGATCGGGAAATTGTGCAGTCTGTGTTAGAAAACGATAATATTGAGGAAAATGGTTCTGACTCTGACTATAGCATAGTTGAAGTGGAAAATAAAATCAGTAGTAGTGAAGCAAAAAGTATTTTTTCCAAAGCGATTCAGTGCGCAGAACCAATTGACGCTTCGGCGACATTTTAACTTTAAAACGCTTAGAGGAAACTGCAGATAAAATGTTTTCAGAAAACTCTAAACAGACCAAAATTGATATTATATATTATATTTATTCAAATGCATAACAATTAAAAGTATCCATGTTTACATAAAATTTTAATAATAACTGAATTTGAATTAAAAATGTATGTTAATTGTGTCAAATTTCTTTCCCGCAAATAACCATTAAAAAAATATCTATAATCCGGACACCCCTGTAATCCGGACGACCCCCAACATCAAGGGTGTCCGATCTATCGAGATACTACTGTAACTTAATGGCATTTTTCTAATGAAACTATTTCAATTTGTTCCTACAGATATTAAAGCAATAATTTTCCTCAAAGGAAACAAGGAGGTAGTCAGCAATCACCACGCAATAACAAACGAACGAGAATTAATACCCGCCCTTGAATAACCACTTCAGACGACCTCAAACCACGCATTATAGTCAACCAATCAGAAGCTTCCAACGGAAACTGCTATGACAGTCCATCCGCACAATAGTGTGATGTGTTCCATACATATATACGAAATAATGTACCAAATTCATCTTTATTGAACATTATTTTGAACTTTTTAGTTCTTTGCGAAGAAAGAAGTTAACTAAGTGACACTGTGAGATCGTTAACCATGCATATCAAATAA